CCCCCCCCTCTCTTTCTTTTTCTCTTGTTAAATTTTCAAAAACTAAGAAAATTTCTTGTGACTGGTGGAAGAATCGACTTGCTAGATTCACGATCGTTCAAGGTTCCGACGTTCGTACGTTCAACGTGGCAAGAACAATCGAATTTCAAAACTGTGCCCCTCTTTCCGGCGTTTCGCTTTCGAGGAACGATTTTACGGTTTCGTTCGTCTCCTATTGTCTTGATCGTATGATTGGTCTGTTTTCGCATTCACACAAAGCATCGTTTCGTCTGTTCCTTTACCTTTAGTTTTGCATTTCTCTTTATGTATTTCGCAAAAGCAATTTCCCAAAAGTTTCACGTTCGAAATTCTCGTGGAGTACAACTTACGAGCATTTAATTCACAGACGTACAAAGTCAAATATATTCAAGTATTAACAAACTAAGTTATCTGAACATTTTCGACTACTGATCGATAGCGGCGTAACCGATCGATATTGCACTTTAAGTACGCTGCACTTCAATCGTTTCCGTACGCGATGATCGATCAATGGATTCCATCGATTTTCGATCGCTCTTGGGAAAAAACGGTAAAAGTTTCTCGAGCCACCCCGTCGTAATATTCCCGATATAGTAAGTGAATCACTTTCGTTTGATCGTGCTTTCGGATAAAAAAAAAAAAAAAAAAAAAAAAAAAAGAAAGAAAGAAAGGTAGCAGAGTTTAAAAAGAGCAACAGACTTTTTTTTTAATTGTAGAATTTTTAGCGAACGGGCCATACGAGAACTTTACGCAAGGCATATGGCTTCTCGGTGCGACGATCGATTCTACAACTAAGGCAACCTGTGCTTGCCAAGATTTACCAACTAATACAATACTTCGGGCACAATCCTTGAAAGATTGTCATCGTTTCGTATACGTACAGTCATCGTTCCGTATACGTACGTCGATACTCATCGTTTCTCTTAACTGTTTCGCGAGTTTTCAGATACGAGGTGAAACGACATTCGAAGTAATTGTCACGTACGCAACGATCACTGAAGGTTCCTCCAGGAGGAGTGAATTCTCTTATAATCAGGCCCGTTGTTTGGACAATCTCGAAACAAAATTATATCTTTGCGAAGAACATTCTTTGATCTTTGACATGAATATGAAATGGAATGCAGTCGATCGATAGCGTTTCAAGCAGGTATATATACCATCGTATTCCAAGCGAGCTTGTTTCTTTCGCGTGAATTATCGATCAGCGGAGTCGCGAAACGCGGCGAAAGAAACGATGTAACACTAACAAATAGTACATATATCGTTGTTACTTTGTTAATTTTTGCAATTCTTTCTTTCTTCTTTTTTTCTTTTTTCAAGACACGTGTCAACGCAAGATGCAGAAACGATGGAAAGTATGTATTAGAAATCACTGACACTTCGTGGTAGTACACAAAATCGATGCACAAACGACAGAGAAACCACGAGTTAATGAAACGTCGTTCCCTTTGACGAACATTCGGGAACAAATTGCCGCATTATCGCGATCAAATTTTCAAAGATTCTACGATCACACGATCGTGCTTCGAACAACTCACTATACTGAATACACGATTGCCGGTGAACCGTATGTATGTAAGTACGTGGGATCCCTCCGAGCCAATGTATAACTGTACCCGGTTAGAGTCACGTGACGAACAAGGTAGATGAACGCACGTGTATATTTACGCTTGCGTGCTCGATCACTCGTCAAATTGATCTGAATTACGATCAACTGGTCATTAATTGCTTGTCGATATTTAACAAATTAATATTCATCTTTGATATTTAATTAAATCCTAAAGGTTTTTAGTGTGAAACTTAACATTAACCTTTTTCTCCGTGACCGAAATATTTTTGGAAATTTCTCGAAATAATTTTCTCGATCTTTAGAAAGTTTTTTTCGAGAGCAATCGAAACTTATTAAAAGGAAAAGAAAGAGATTCGATAAATCATGATTCGTTAACTGTTGTACTTTTTGAACAAAAAATGAAAAATTAGTCAAGTTATAAATTACACAGTATGTGACTCATACTGTCTATTAACAATATTACGAAAGTAATATGTATTGCGACAAGCAAAGTAAATCGGATTAAGAAAACATTGCAATTGATTATTAGAGAAAGTTTTGACTGTAAGACTTAAAGTTTAAATAATTCTTTTTTCTTGCTTTAATAATATAGCTATATTGATGCATGCACATTATAATAACAAAGAGAATAATTTGATAAACAAAAAATAAATATTCACATAGTATACCAATTATATATACCAATGTAAAATTTATTTATCGATAAAACCATTTATATAATGCTGATTATAAATATTCAACATTATATAAATATAAATATCTAATATAACAATTTTCATAACACGCCAAATTACTGATTGAAAAATGTCTACGCGAGAAATATAATAATCAAATATCTTTGATTAAACAGTGTAATATTGAATACATAAAACGGAATATAACATCATTTTAATATAATACAAAATATAATTTTAATAAAAATAAATTGGCATAATAAATTTCATTTGATATTTATTCCTTGTATCGTGCACGAGATAATACCGCAAAAGCCAGACACGAAGTGACTTTCGTCTCAGTTTCGTCTCGTTTTTGACCACAAAAAGTTTCACACGAAACGCTTAGACATATATATTGTTGACAGATAAAACAAGTAGAACTGAAAACCACACATGCGGGTGATCAGTAGTTACTAACAGAATGTTCTTCCATTTCATATGCCTTTGTAAAAGTTTGTTTCTAAAAGCGTATTTTTATTCACCCATTAAACCATTATTTGATGATACTTTCAAGCTTCATGCGTAATAAGATCTAAACAATTAAAATTACATTATTTTTCTAGGAAACCACTGAATTGTTGAAACTTCGAAAAAATAATCAGCAAGAAAACTTTTCCTATTAAAGTACAATTTTTCTAAAATTGTATATTTATATTTCATAACTGACATTTACAACTCAAGTTTCAGTCAGTATTTCACATGCATTATGTCTATGTACCAGGCACGTACGCAATTGCATTCAACATAGTACAATGATAATACGCAGAAACGTGAACCGAAGTCACGCACTCTGGTT